TTGGGAGGTGATTATGTTTTACATAAATTATTTTTTCCAGGCCACCGTGGTTCTAGCCATGGTTGAGGTTTTGATGGAGGTGTGGACGATGGATGATTTGGTGGAGGTGTGGACGTAGTGTTAGATTTTTTGGTTGTATAGAAAATTACCATCTTGTCCTTTTTCAAACGGTCTTTACTAATAGACTCTGACAGAAGGTGGGTATTTGTCGTTTCAAAACATTTTGGGTACTAATTTGTCTTTACAACAAACTCGGTTCAATGTAAGTTGTTCCCTCAATTTTTAAATTCCAATTATACATCTTTAAACTTTAATCTCTATTAAGCTATTTTATTCACCTTCTTAGTTTAATTTCATTGTAATAGACATAATGGAAAAATTAATAAATCAAATTATTTGCAAAATTAAAATATTTTCGTTATTCATGATTTGTAATACAAAATATAAATATATATTATACTTAATAAATAGAATATTAATAAAAATACTAGTTTTCAGATATATAAAATTTGCAACACAAACACTTAATGCTTATAATCAAATATTAAAAAAATTGCAAACAAATATATTATAATATTTTATTCAAAGTTATTCAATGGTCAACACTATACAATTATTAGACAAGTTACTTAACGTCAACTTAGGTTTAGTTTTTATGTTTATTATGCAAAAAAATACACACTGACATAGCACCACTAATCAGGGTTCAACAAGCATTTAAAGCAAAGTGGTATTAGTTGTTAAAAACTCAAACTGTCTCAAAGAGATATTAATATTTGTCCCACTTTTATCAAAATAAAAGATCAGGATGAATGAGAACTCTCCATGTGTCAAGATAACTTGTAAAAGTATTCATTACGTTGAGTTCAAAGGTGTATAAATTAACAACTCTCTTCATGAAATAAGGAGGCTGGACACAAATGTGAGCTTCAACCATTATTTTTCTCTGTAAATAAAACATTTCTTCATTTTTGTATGCCTTATAAGCAATATCAGAAAAATAGTCAAAGAATAATAAGATAATAGTGAATGTAGGATTCGCTTTAAACATTCGAACCACTATAAAAATCTCTCTTGTCAATCTTTTATTTATATTTCTTCAAACATATATCATCTCTGCACCATACACAACTCTTACAATCATATCATTTGTAACTTCTAAGATTCTTTTAACACTTTGCATGTGTGAGGTCTTTGGTGTCAAAATCGAGCATCAATAATGTTTCAAACAGTGGTTGGGTGGAGATGAGAAGAAACAAGGTATAATTTGTCTCAATGAATTAGTAATTGAGTCAGCCATCTAAACTACCATCTATTTGTCTACATGTCATGGTTGGTAGATATACGGTTTAAGTAGATTACTATTTTATTCCAGTTTACACATTTGAAATTTTATCTAGGTAAGGTAATGATCTGATGCTTTTTGTTTTTCTTTTAAAATAATCTTAAACTATTGTTGGGAGTCCAGGCCCAGATTTGGTAGTAAATAAGCCTAGAACAAAAGGCTCAGGTCAAGTGAAAGAGTTAAGGCCCATGGTGTAAGAGATGTAATAATCGCAGCGAACTTCCTTAAGAGTATGGGGAGTGGGGAGACATGCCAATGACCAAGCAACTCTATATAAGAAGATGGAAAAATTATTTATTTATCTATCATTTGCAATAAAAGAATCATTCATTTTGGAATGCCAACTTCGTTTGGTGAGCTGAAATAGATGGTGTGGCAAATACTGTAATATGGCGCATTATTGAATCACTTGCTTTGCTTCCATTAGTTAGTGTAGACTGTAGATGCACAGGAGACAGGAACTAAACCTTTTTTAAGGCACATTTTTAATTGAATTGTCTTCATCATAAGGACAAAATCCCCATAAGGTCTGCGGTGGTGGCTTGTTAATTAATTTATGTCAATTCTCATTCACCAGGATAAAAAGATTACATTCTCTTTTAACTATAAANACTATATATACAAAATTTAGAAATTAACCTTTGATTTTCGAAAAGTTGTGATTTGTTAAAGGTGATAGTATTAATAATGACATAACGAGTTTGTTACTTTTCTATAATCAATATTGTGACGATAAATCACTACTGGATATCCTGATGGTAAAAGAGCAAAACCATTTAACATTGGTTTCTGAGTTTGAGTCTCCCTAACCACTAATAGGGGTGACTATTGAGGGGATTTACCCTCGTTTACTTCAGGATTCTGAAAGATTAGTTGAAGTGCACGCAAGTCTGAATTGTGCGTAAGTTGACACGACACCCTGGTCACCAAAAATAAAATTGTGACGATACATCAACAGTGAGGTTACGGTTTGTTTTCTAATTTTGTGTACGTAACATTAAATATAAAATGATTTATTGTGATAAACAGCAATGCTATAGACATCGAAAATTGGTAATGAAAATTTGCACCGAAATACGTAGCACCTGACTTAGACGTCGCCACGTAAGACATGATAGAAGACTTTTGTAAATGGATGGCCATCCATACTTCCTAGACAGCCATTCATTCAGGAATTGACGACGGTCCATAAAACATATATAAAAATAAACTAAAAATTAATGGACGACTGTCTAAATACTAGGGACGGGCGTCCCTTTAATATGAACGGTCGTCCAAATTATATGGACGACCGTCCAAATAAGCACATTAGATGGACAGGCGTCCATATACTTCCACTCCCACTTGTTTATTCTTCAACTCCTCCCTCATTCTTATGGGAATAGAATGAGATGAATGTTGACTATTGTCTTCTTTATTAGTTTCATTTACTGAACAATCATCTTTAATTACAACCATATGTGATGAAGGAGCTATTTCTTTGGTCTTGGTCTCTAACTTCACATTCTTCGGCTTTAGATGCTTGCAGAAAGTATCATGGTCATATATATTATCATAAGTTTTTTCTTTGGAACCAGATGAACTTTCAACAAAACCACCATCCTTACAAGATGCATTTTGCACTGTAATCTGGATCTCACCTGCTTTCTCTATGTTTTTCTCTTCAAGATGCTCTTCGAATAGCACATACACATTCTTCATTATACTATTTTCAGGAACAACCTTTTGCAAATTCTTCCTTTTCATTTTTTTCTCACTATCCTTGCATGCAGGTTGACCCTCTAAACTGTTAACAGAGGCTTCCCTCATCTCAATATCTCCCAAGACATGTGCTAGGGCAACATTCTCCACTTTTATTACTCTATCTAACTTATTCTCTATTAGGTCAACTGTATGGGCTTCTTCTGAATGGTCAAATAAAGTATCTCTTCTACCATCCTTTATGCAATCTGAACTATTAACCGAAGACTTAGAGGATTTTCTCTTTCTCTTCCTATGATAGGTCTTAGCATCGCTTCGTTCACGATAAACAATATCATTCTTAGAAGGAAGATCTTGTTTCTCTATCAAATTTGTACTCTTCAGAGAATCACTTTGATTTCTAGAGAGGCGTAAATCTCCTTTCATTGAAGCCAAATCCAACTTTTCTGGAGCAATTTTCACATCCTCTTTTCCAAAATGCTCAGCATTAGCCATTTGTAGATTAGCTAGACTGCAATTTTCAGAGGCCTTGTGACCATCATTCTGCTCATTACTCTCATTCTCTTCCAGACACAAACTGATATCCTTAATAGATTGTTTCTCCATTAAGACATTGCTTGAGCATATGTTGACTAGCAGTTGTAAGATGAGTCCCTTTCTGAAAATATAACTTTTGCATAGAATCATTAAGATTCTCCTTCTTTTTCTTTTTTCTCATCATTTTTCTCAGCAGACAACTCAAATTCATTGGGCCTGTTATAACAGGAGTAGCCACCAACTCCATTTTGTGCTTGTATCAAACATCCCTCTACTTCACCGGTTGCAGTTTCAAGAACCTTCTTTATGCTCACATCTACAGAAGCTTCTGTTCCTGAGGGAGCAGTAATTATTTCAGAAGTAACTTCCTGAAGATTAACATCTATATAATCAGTTTTTAGAGCATTAAGCCTCTTTTTCTTCTTCAGCCTCTTCTTCTTTTTCTCATTATGCAAACAATCCAAACTAGAATTAGATTGTGCCTCTATGAAACCAGACTCCGAACCAACTTTAACCATGAATTCTACATATGAATCTCTACCTTGTGGAATTTCCTGCATTGAAGAAGCTCCCTTGAAACAATCATGACTTGTATCATTATCATTATTATTATTTAAGGAAGCTCCCTACTTTAATCGGAGTAGCCTCCAAATCCATCTTTGGGCTTGTATCACACATAACCTCCACTTTACTGGGAGCAGTTTCATGAACCTTCTTTATGCTCACATCAATAGAAGCTTCTATTAATAAGGGAGCAGTTATAGTTTGGGCTTGTATCACACATAACCTCCATTTTACTAGGAGCAGTTTCAGGAACCTTCTTTATGCTCACATGGATTGCCGTTTTCCATTAAATCAGGACGACAATCCCTTTAAAAGGAAAGGGACTGCCGTCCACATTAGATGGACATGCGTCCATCTATTGTGATTATTTGGACGACCGTCCATATTAAAGGGATGCTCGTCCCTAGTATTTGGATGGGAGTCCATTGATTTTTTATTTATTTTTAAATATTTTTTATGGACCATCATCCGTTCCTGAATGAATGGTCGTCCAGGAAGTGTGGACGGTCGTTCGAAAATGTTAGACGGCCGTCCATTTATGAAAGTCTTCTATCGTCCTATGTGGTGATGTCCGAGTCAGGTGCCACGTATTTTGGTGCAAATTTTCGGTACCAATTTTCGGTGTACATAGCATTTTTGTTGTGATAAATTCGACAACAATGTTGGGCCATTATGGCCTGTGACTTTACTGGGCTAATAACTGACATCTAAGTCATAGGCCCATCATCCAAGGGCCGTAACTGGCCTGGTATCGGCCCATTATCCAAGGCCACGGGCCCATGAGCCATGAGATTAGGGTTTAGTAAAAACAATTATTAAAGAATTTTCCCGCTCAAAAGCGAACACCGAAGTCTGAACAAAGAGAGAGAGAGAGAGAGAGAGAGAGAGAGAGTGACAAGATTCTGAGAGGCAAAGCAAAAACAAAATGAGTGCTCATACGCGAAAGAAGATCCAGAAGAAGCTGAAAATCAGAGGCTACGGCCTCAAAATCGAAGCTCTTGAGGAGATTCTCTCCTTCGTCGATCGTTTCCCCGACGCCGAAGACGAGGCCGTCGATCTCCTCCTCGATCAGCTCGAGCACGAATCTTGTAATCAACAAATCACTTTCATTTCGTTTGAATATCATTTCGCGAATAAACGAAACGAATCGTCTTCCTTAGGATTTACTTTATAATTATTTTGCTTTGGGTTTTTGAAATCTCAATAAAAGTTTGTAATAAATTAATAATTATTTTCTTATTTGTCGGTGAAGTGAAACCTTCGATATTAGAAGGGGATTTGTTGAATCGTATTAATTTCAATTAAAAATAAAACATAGACAAATACTTTTGTTACAATTTAAATTCAATTATTTTTGGTGGATTAGAGAGTTATATTCCATGAAAAGTAGTATGAAAGCTTATCTATTAGGGCCTGTTGCATTAAATTGTTACTAATTGAAGTGAAAAGTTTGGGAAAGTGGAATTGGAATAGTTTCATTCTCTATCACTGGACTTGGTTGTCTATATATTTCTTTGGATTAATTGATCTTTTATGTTTGATTGGCAGTGAAATCTTCGATAATTGATGGGGAGTTGGTGCATCGAGTTATCAGTCTTTTGTTAGAGGCTGAGGGTGCCACGGAGGAAGATCCTAGCCTTGCTTCTAATCATTCTGGTCTTCGTGTAATTGATGCCTTTTTGGTTCCCAAGTTTCTTTATGATCCTATCAAGAAGCAGTTTTATCAGTATGTTATTTTGTACTGTAAAGTTTTATAGGGTTGCATTAGTAAGTGTTTTGAGTAAAAGCTCTTCCTGGGAAAGTAGTCATGAATCATTTCAAATGCGTGTTTTTGGTTGTTTTTATAATTTTTATTATAAAAAAAAAAAAAAAGCTTTTAGAAACTGCACTTGTCAATTGTTTCTCCAAAAAATACTTTTAACTAAAGACTACAAAGTATAGACAAAGACAATTTCAACTATTTGAAGAACTTTTAATGGTGTCAAAAGTGTTTCCAGACACATTTTATTGTTTGATATGTTGAGATTTATATTTTTCCTCAATTTGTATCTTGTGGTTACTTTGCTTTCAGGCCACCAACTGGTGGGAATAATTAAATTTTGACTGTGGTTTCTAATTCTTAACAGTTGGGGTTAAATTTGAGGTTCAAAAATTTCATGTTTATGGAATTTGATAATTTTAGGGAAAGAGATGGAAATAGTAGTGGTGGGTGTAGATGTAGCTGATTAGAAATTTATGTTTGTTTGATTTTTTGGATGCTTTTAAATGAATGATTTTTTTATTTTATTATTATTATTATAGGCATCCAGGCAGCCTGCCAATTCATGGTGAGGCTTCCGCAAAAGCAGCATTATATAGGGACAGGCTTCTGTTGCTGTTCCAGAGGGTTTCTCGTGATCAACATTTTTCCAAATCTTCTTTTGATGCCGAAACCTCAGAATTCGGGAGCTGTGAGGTTATTCCTTTTTCTCTTTCTCTTTCTCTCTCTCTCTCTCTCTCTCTCTCTCACATGTCTTGTTTGGTTCACATCTCTTAACATGAAAATTGTGGCTTTGTTTTGGTGTTGCACAGATTTCTACTATTCAGTCTCTAGTTGGACAAAGAGGGAGAAAATGGGTCATGGGTGTGATTTCCCAGTTGGAGGATGGTCACTTCTACTTGGAAGATCTCACTGCTTCAGTAGAAATTAATTTATCTAAAGCAATATCCTTTACCTTCTTCTATTTCCTATTTTATCTTTTTCTGGAATAAGAATTTCATGGTTTTACTTTACATGAATGTGCACAATTCTGTGATGCAATCAAAACTGAGATAGAAAACCATCGTTTTTCTTGATAAGTAATACAAAATCACCACAGGTTTTTTTTCAGAAAACACCATTGTTTTAGCAGAAGGCGAGATGCTCATGGAGGGAATTTTTCAGGTTAGGAAAGTATTTCCTTTAAGAGCTGCTATGCAGGCATTTGACTTACATCAGAAACATATTTCTTAAAATTTGTAATTGCTTTTAGTTTTTTAGAATTGTTAATATTCAATGATGTACTGAAACACCTAGAATTTTTGGTATGAAAGGACATCTTTTAGGGAACTTCTTGTTTCCTATTACATATTGTTTTTAACTTTCGGGTATGAAAATTTTTGGAAAGATGAGATTTCTCTATACCTAATTTTGAGTTTGTCATAGTAATTTTCAGGAAACCTGTAGCTATACACCATGTGCACAGTACAGTAATCTCTGTTGCCCATAATAGCCATGCAAGCTGTAGAGTTACATAAGTATTGATTTTGTTGATTGAAGTAGACATTCTAATAGTGATTTTGTTATAAAGGTAATTACATGTGGATTTCCTCCGTTGGAGAACAGAGATAAGTCACTCAAGCTACTTGTAGGGCATGACTTCTTTGGTGGTGGTACACTAACCAAAGAGGAGACTGTATCCTTATCATTTTAGTCCATATTCAGTATTGAGAAATTTTCGAGTTAGTTATAGATGTAGAATATATTAGTTAATCATGGTTTTCCTATACATTTTCCATAGCTCAGACTTGCAGATCTGGAAAAGAGAGCAATGAATGACATGTTTGTCATACTCTCTGACATTTGGTTGGATAATGAAGAGGTTAATCACAATCTATAATAGTTTTACTTCCCCCTCTTTTTTTTAGTATATTTACTTAATCATATCTCTATCTTGTTCTTAGAGAAGATTATGGGAAAGCTGGAGCTTGTCCTCAATGGTTTTGAGAGTCAGGAGGTGGTTCCTTCTTTATTTGTATTTATGGGGAACTTTTGCTCTAAGCCATGTAACTTATCCTTTCACTCCTTTTCAAGTCTCAGGTGAGGAAATTATGTTTTCTTATGTTATATCTTACACCGCAGCTTTTGTTTTGGCACATTAAAAGCAATAACATGCAATATGGATTTATAGACAGCAGTTTGGCAAGTTAGGGCAAAAGATTGCAGATCATCCACGTCTAAAAGAGCACAGTCGATTCCTATTTATTCCGGGTCCTGATGATGCTGGTATAATAAAATGGCTATTTTGTTTTCTTCAATTCTTTGATGCGTAAGATTATTTTTCCAGATAATTCTTGTTTTTACAGGTCCATCAACTGTTCTTCCACGGTGTGCTTTACCAAAATATCTAACTGAAGAGCTTCAGAAGTACATCCCAAATGCAATATTTTCCAGTAATCCTTGCAGGTTCAGATCACTGAATGATTAAATCATTGATGAAAATAAGTCTAGTTTCCTCCAGATGACATCCTCATGGATTTCTTTCTTTCTTTAAGCTGTAAATGGTATTTGAATAATTGTTCTTGAATTCAATGGACCATCTGTTGTTGGAAGTGTGAGGATGCTCTTTTTATTTGAAATATGGTGTCTTGTGAATTGGCTATAGCAACTGATGTGTACCTAATTGTGATAATATGTTATTTGTTTTCACTTTTGAACACAGAATAAAGTTCTACACCCAAGAAATTGTGTTTTTTCGCCAAGATCTTCTGTACAGAATGCGTCGTTCATGCTTGATTCCTCCATCTACAGAAGAGACTGAGCATCCTTTTGAGCATGTATGTTTCTTCTCCCAACCCCACCCCATGACACCCTCAATACTAATAATTAAAGTTTGACTTATCGATTATAGATGTTGTATCATCCGGCTAACATTTCGTGAGTTTCTGCTGCAGCTTGTTGCTACCATAACACATCAAAGTCATCTGTGTCCACTTCCTCTTATGGTACAACCAATCATCTGGAATTATGATCACTCTCTCCATCTGTATCCAACTCCACATACGGTATTGCTCACATCTTATGGCTATGCTTTTCTAAAATGTAATGTTGTATATGCAACATTTTAATATTTATCTATCCTTGAAATACGTAGAACAGTCAAAAAATAAATTCTAAATTTGTCTATTTCTCATGAGATTTGAAAACCAAAAAAATTGAATAATTTTGAATTAATGAATCTCTGGAAAATCTCAAGTCTTTATCACTCAATTTAAAAAAGTACTGGATTTATCATTTTAAGGTTGTTATTGGAGAATTTTTTCCTGGGTCAACAAATGCAACTTTGATTCACTGCATGTGTTTAGTATAGGGAGAGCAACTAAGCTGTTAGTTTTAGAATTTAATCATGTTTTATAAGTCATCAAAGTTGATGACATTAGAAGGACAGAAATATAAACTGACATTCGTTAATTCATTCTCACAGATAGTTTTGGGAGATAAGAGCGAGCAGAAGGCATTCAAATACACTGGAATCACTTGTTTCAATCCTGGTTCCTTCTCAAGTGATAGTACTTTTGTAGCATATCGTCCTTGCACTCAGGAAGTTGAGTTTTCAGCCTTGTAAGTATTAAAGGAATCCAATTCTGATATTTATTTTTTAGGTTGAGTAGGCAAACATGGTTAAGTTGAAAACGTTACTTATTCATTGTAGTTTAGCCACATTTTCATTGTTTAAGTTCTGCTAATATCATAGCTTTTAGCTAATTTCCCTGTATGTTACCCAAAATAACTATTGTAAAGTATCGTATGTTAATAATCTTGGTGGAAGCATATTACATTTCTTTGATAGCTGAATATCATTGGTTATTAAATAGATTTTATTTCCCAGCATCTATTTGCTAGACTTTTATGTAGTTATGTGCTCCTTTATGAAGAACTAAAGATCATATGTGATATATTTTTCAAAGACAACCAAGAAATGGAGACCAAAAATAATTGTAAACCTTAACAAAAATTTTGACGTAGCATATCATGCTAAGCCTTAATATATCAAATATTTTGGAATAAAATTGCATGTGTAACTAAGTTTAGGGGCTCTAGTGCTAATGATAGCCTAACACTGGTGACTGACATGTGGGGTTTGGGTGGGTTCTTAGAATCAATTTTCAAAAGTGCAAAAAGAAAGGATGGTGGCTTTAAGCTTTGTGCTCATATTTACGCTTAAATTGTTGAATTTTCATTTCTTTTTTAACAGTTTACAAGTTGTTTTTTCTTGGGATAAAAATTATATTATACTGATAGAAGCTTATCACCTTCATGTGTCTATACAGATTAATAAACTCCTAATGACAGATTCCATTAACCTAAAATCACCTTTTGAAGTCATCTTGCTTCTTCATTTTGGTGCAACCCTACATGATTGAAACAAAGAACTCTATCATCATCTTGCTCTCATCAACTTGTTGATTTTGATTTTAATTTGTCTAAAAGATTTAGTGGTGCAATTTGTTACCAATCTATTAAAAAAGAAAGAAAAAAAAAAAAAAGATTCCCCATACATTTAAATAAAATTTGAGCTAAATAATTTAAATTTCTTGAATTATAAATGACTAGAATCAACTTTCTATAGAATGAACTTTCTTCTAAGTATTATCATGTTAAACATGAACGGAAACTTGGCCTCATCAATAATTTTTATAATCTCTTATCATTATTTTTTTTATCTGTAAGAAACCGATAAATTGTTATGATAAAAGTGAATTACATCAGTGAATTAGTTGTGCTAAAAAACTATTCAGATCCTACTGTTAGGAAAGGTTTCAACCTATCTATTTGTCATGGAACTAACATACTTGTCAACATTGAGATAGTTTTTATGTTGGACTAGAAAGCAGGAGATTCAAAACACTTTGTCTTATTTTATAAGATTTTATATGAATTATTAGATTTTTATGCTATTGTAACTTTAGATTTGATAAATCATTACTCTTTTAGGTTTTAGTATATCTATCACTGATGTGTGTTGACGTAAGGCAGAAAGCTATGCATATTGAATTTAAGTTTTCTGATTTTTTCTTATTCCTACTAGTCTGCTGTTGTTCTTTTCATTGGTTGTTAAATATTATTTTTCTAGTGATGATAAATTCATTGAAAGCTCTCAGCTAATAGTAGAGAGCTAATTTTAATCGTTTGTTAAGTTGTATAAAAAGTTATGTTCATATTTCTTTTGTTAGCTGTATTCTTGTATAATCTTGTAGTTGACTAAATGTTCATAATCCAATCAGTAATTTCTTGTCTTTATGGCAATTCAGCATCATGGTGCCTCTTAGTCTGACTAATATTTCAAACATAACTTAGATACATGTGAATGAGGATGTTTTAGTTTTATGGGAATGACTAGTCAAGGTATAGAAAAGGCAAAAACAAATGAACACGCGAACGTTTAACAGAACAACATATTGAACAGGTTTAGGAAGCAGCAAGTATTTGTCAAGTATTGGTTATACATATTAAGTACAGTATATAATTTTTTTAGTTATTTGTGTTGATTGTCAAAATTGTACAAAGAAAAGTTCTTTTGCATCATTATGTCGATTCTTGTTACGGCACTCCATTTGTCGTTAGCATCATTGATTCTTGACTAGTGAATTCGAAATCAGATATTGTGAGGACAGATTGAATTGCCGATATATCTTTATATTCACGCAAAGGTGATATACAATAACTTTAGCTTTGTGGAATACACCGTGGCATGGAATTTGTCTATTTAGTCTCGAGAAATTTGTATTAGGAGGTGAACTTGTCGGCATATTAGTGGCTTAGCTGGTGAATTCTTTCCCACTTGCGAGTAGTGTTGAAAATTCTCTTTAATTTTCCCTATGATTCTAGGCAAGCAGGTTGTTATATGGACCTAGGCTTCCCATCGGTCAAATTCTAACATGACTAAACATAACAATCATATTGAACTTTGGGAGCTCATTGCATAAATCAGACACTTTAGCCGAAAGAAATGGTTTTGTAGTGCATTTCTTCTTCTTGCTATTGATAGAATTTTTTACTACCGTAAAGATAGTTTTTCTTTTTCTTCAACTAGAAGATCAATATCATAGTGGACTCTCTATATTTTAATTGCAAATTGAGATAGATGCTTAGTTAGCTATCGTTATCATGCTGCACTTTTTTTTTTTTTTTTTAATTTTTTTCGTATTGTTAAGTCATGTTGTTATTAGAAAAAGGTCAGATAATATATTATATTCTCATTTAGAATAGAATTATATCCTTTGATACTTGAAGGTTGAGGCATATTTTAGAAGTCATTTAGTTGTATGTGATGTAAAGGTGTTATATTCCATCAAGGTTAGTATAAAAATCCCCATTTAAAGGAATGTGTCCATGCCAACAGTTTTGACATTAACATCTCTGTCTTCTACCTAATATCTCCCACAACCTCTAAAGTGAGTTTCACTCAAAGCAGATTTTTTCCTTAATGATTTTTTCTTAGTTTCCACAACCAATTAGCCTCTTTGGTTTTAATAATCAAAATCCTGATTGCCATTTATGTTCCCAAGTGTCAAGATTGTGGCGATAGCGATAGCCTAGAAAATAGATATCGTAGTTTGATAGGTAGGTGTACTCTTCTTGAGTTAAGTTTAAGAAGCAAAAGAAATCCATATGAATGGTTCATAAGTTGGTTCCTGGCAGTTTTACAGTTGAGAAGATTCACAAACTTCTAGCCTCAGAAATCCTCAATATTGTATGTGGTGACTCGGCGTCAAACCTGAGAAAAAATAAGAAGCTTATCGAGAAAGAAAAATCAGTCACTGTATGCAAAATAGTTAGCTAAGAATTGTCTTCATGTTCGGTAGGTAGATTAGTTCATAACAACATTCAACTTTTGAAGTACATTCTTGCAGGTGTTAGTTTTGTTTGCCCAGAAAGAAAAATCAAACTTTAGAATTATATTTTGAGGATTAGCATTCATTTACAAGAAATCCTATTATTATATGGTCATTGTTTTGAATTTACAACTGTTGGGAGAATTTGAAGCTCTTATAGAAATAAAACTAACTGTTGGGAAGTCTTAGATATAAAGTAGGTAAAACAGGTGAACAGTCAAGAGAGAACTCTATTACATGAAACCTTTTTAACAGTTAGAATAGTCAGTCAAATTGTTAGTCAACCTGTAATGTGACTACTTGAAACAATCGGATAGAAATGAGTTGGGTCTTGATTTATTAGCGTTTTTTGAATAAATAGTATCAAGTGATTCGATCCCTCATCAGATTAAGGGCGGATAGGATTATCACATCAGATCGAACCATCCATCGACTAGTGTATATATACTAATTAAGGCAATAATTAGGGCTGAATCCATTGAATCTTATTAACAATGAAATGAAATGAAATTTTTATGGGTTTGAAAATAGAAAAAAATTTGTTTGACAGTTGAAGAAAACGGTTGGGTTAGCAGTGACAGTTATCAATATGAAGGAAAGATGGCTGCGGAAGGGAAAGAGCTTGAGAAATTTGGTGGGTGAAAGATGAGAGATGGCTATCTCTTACTACTTTTATAACAAGCAATTTCTCCAACTCTTGGTATGGACGATGGTAGGCCAACGGTCAAACCAAGACTCATGTTTTTATTTTTTATTTTCCAAAAGTCTTCCCACCTTAACACTTTTCTTTTTCTTATTATATATTATGTATAACAAACAATAAGGTGGGAATTATTGATTTTAACCCCCCAAAGCATGGTGCCGACAGAAGTCGGTGGTGGACAAAGCGGTTAATGTCGTCTTTAGTAACACAAACATCGATGAGAATCAAATGCCCTAAATACCTAATAGTTCCTTCATAAGGTTTGGCCATGGAGGACGAGTTAGGGCCTAAGATTAAGCCGAAAGGCATATTTACTTAATTATCATCAAAATAGAATTTTGAATATTATATGTAATTTCAAACCCAATTTTTCATAGTAAAGGTTTATTTTTGCAAGCTTTTAAATACATGTTTTATTGGACTGTTGGAAATTATTATTTTTTGTTTCCATTATATTTTATTTTCAATTAAAAGTAGTAAGCTAATGAGTTTATGTTGGGAATATCTGAAGATATGTGTAATTAAAATTTTAATTTTTTTTTTCTTTTAATAATGGGATAATAATAATAATTCTTGTTATATTTCCAAATTATCAAAATATAAGAAGAATTTCAATGAAGTTTATCACTATTTTAGAATTGTATTAAAGGTGGGTTTTGATTAAATTTCAAAACCCAAGAGAATTTTCATATACGAGTGCCACATACATAAAATTCTGGCAATTTTTTTGGAAAATGGCATTCATTTTCACCCAAAGAATGATTTAAAGAAAGAAATGAGAAAATTAAGGAGCATTTATACCTGAGATTTCTTAATCAATCAAATCCCTTCAATGAAATGAAGAACAGTTTTTTTTGACTACAAATTAGAGTCTAAAATGTCGGTTATTATGGTTAATTTGTCGTAGTTAATATCTCTTTTTGAAGTTCACATAAAGTTTTGAGATTGAACTCGTTCACATTAAGATCAAATTTAAATTTCTCTTTGAATTTTGATTTCATCTTTGTTGTAAAGATTCTTAGCAAAGTCCTTTTCAATTTGTTGAGGACGGTTTGTTTTATTTGTCTTGAGTACAAAAAGTTGTGCATTAATTTGTTATAATTTTTTTGTTTTCTAGATTGAGAAGTAAATATTAAGCATTACTTTTAAATAATTATTTCTTAATTTCATCATTACCCTTAATCAATTTTCAAAACCATTAAAATCATGTGTCATTTTGCTCCAACAAAAATAAAAGTTTGCCACCACTTTCATGTTTGGAAATATATCTATTTATTAGTTTTCTCTCTCTCTCTCTCTCTCTTATTATTAGTATTTTTTTTTTGTTTGATGACCGGAGTGTTTGAGTTAGTTTATGTGCATTTTAACTAATCCTCCAAGATCCTGAAACTACCGGTTAGATAAGAGTTCTAATGTCTACCTTTATTAGCAATCGAGAAGGAATTTGAACTCATGATCTCTTGAATAATACGTCTAAAACTCAAATGCATGGATGATCTTTTCTTCCATGCATTTTAGATTATTTTTCATGAAAATAAAATAAAAAAATCTCAGATATGAATCATCGTCGATTTGGAAATATATTATCTATAAAAGAGAATGATAGAAAAAAGAAAAGAGGTTTTCAACATAATAAATTAATTACGTATTACTTAAGGGGTGTTTCTCTAAGCTTATAAGTTAGTTGTTAGTCAAACTAGCTTATAAGCTTTANAAGATCCAGCCGGTCATGCGCCAATACGGTGAACCCGGCCACCCTCCGGCGGTGGTGGCCGGCTGTCCGTATTTGACATTGGGTTGGGGGTGTTTTTGTTAACTTTTAAGATTTTATTATAGGGGGTGTTTTGTAAATAAATAAATATAGGGGGTATTTTATTAATTTATAAATCCTACATCGTAATACCTGCCCAATTCAACTTTTTTTTAACTTTTTTCAGAAAACTTTTCCCAAAAACACCCGATTGTGAACCAAATGAAGCCAATATGCTTTATAGCAACACTGCTGACATTGTAGATGAGGATCATGATCTTTTTACTTTGTTATTCAAGTAATTAGAGGTGATAAAACTTTCTGAAAGAAAATGCAAGAAAAAGAAAGCATTAATTAATCATGTAGAAACTCAAATCACATATATGATGAATAGTATTACTCAAATTCGATGTAAACTTTCGAGTCTGTAGCATTATTATAACTTCTAAGCTCACTTCAACTTTTCATATCAAAATAGTATTCTCCTGGTTGCCTTTTATACGGCATTCAAAAAAACAAAATAAAATAAAAATAAAAAGAGCTTGGGAAGTGCCGGCTTCCATTGGGAAACATAAGAATTGAAGTGACAGATTAAGATTCATGTCAATTGAAATATTTACTTAATAGTTTTCTACGAGAAAGTGATTTTGCAATTTAGATGCGTAAGACTTTTAGCCTCTAAATTTTCTTATCCGCATCTAATTTGGCTAGAAGTCAAAAGCTATTTTATTTTATTTTATTTTTATTTTTTTTGTAGTGTTTTTGGGAATTCTGTTGGATCAATATACATTGGTGTGGGCCATGGTTTTATTTTATTGATGCGTGTATCAGTATACATCGGTGTAGGCCATGGTTTTATTTTATTGATGCATGAATCTTAATCCGCCAATTCAACCGCACCGGCAAAAGAAATCTAGATTAATGCAGATCCCAAGCTCTTCTTATTTTTTATTTTTATTATATTTTAATTAATTCAAGTTTCACTAGAGCTGTACCGTTTGACAAAGATTCGCCACAAATCTCCAACGAATTTCATAAATGTCAAATTGTCAAAGTTTTTCCACAAAACATCAATGGAAGCTATCAAGTCATATGATAATATTTAGAGTACTGACATGAGCTATTTAGGTGGCTGATAATGTTAGCACAAATGATTATTTAAAGCTTTTAATTAGCACAAATTATTTGATAATATTTGAAGATAAACATCGTGAAATATTCTAAAATTAAGCTTTCAATTATTTGTTTTATTTTTTTACTTTTAATCTTTGTTTCTAATTAGGTCTTAGAGCATCATATATTGTCATGAAAAAATTAATTAAAGTGAATTGGACCAAAATGACAATTAAATTAACACTGGCCAAATCAATCAAGCGAAGATGAGAAAAACTTTAAATATTTTTAATTTCTAAAGGTACGGAGGCTGCTCCGCTGCTGTCATACTCATACTCTTTGAAAAAAGACTAGCAACGGCTGTCTCTTGCCTATAAAAAATGCTCACCTGGTATCCCAGAGGCTCACAGAGCAGGTGATAATATTCTTTGTTGATCACGAATGGCGCAGGTTTTCTCCAAGGTTTTATCCCCCACAGACATAACATGCAGATTGGCTTTACCTATGAAGGCTTTCAATCGTTTTCATTTTCCGGAAGGTGTTAACTACGCTCATTTTATGGTTACAGACTCAGACGGAATACGGTACAACTTTCGTTTGGCCAAAAGAAACTCAGGTAATAATCCCAAGCCTAATCATCCCAAGCCTGAAATCACTGGTGGTTGGCGTCAATTCGCTCGCAATAAAGGTCTTAAACCTGGAGATAGGGTCACTCTTAATGTGCAACAAGGTGAAGCTGGTGCTGTGCACTACACAATTAAAGTGACCAAAATGATCCGGTTATTTGGTCGTCGTATATATGAAGCTTGAGTGGCTTCTTTGAGAGGTTTCTTAATTTCTTCCGATTGGTTGGATTGTCTAGTACGTTCCTGTTGTAGATAAACCGTTATTCAGCTATCTCACGTCTCAATACTGGAATAGTGCTTTAGAATTAATGCAGATTATCATAGTTCAATACTGTTTAAGCAATATTTCCCGAACTTTTATGTTAGCAGATATTAATCATGGGGTTAATGTCCTTTTGTTTTTAGTTTTTACCTCATGATGTTTTGTTTAGGTCATAAACAGATAAATAAACGGCTTGTTTCCATTGCCTCAGTTTTTTTTTTTTATTATTTTTTTCTAAAACTTAAACATTCAGTTTATCTGCCCTAATTATTAGGTTCAGTACTCCGAATGATATTGTATTCGTTTAAATATGCAAGAGTTTTTCCAAACTCTCAAATGCAAAATAATTACATCTTGAAACCCTCTCCAAATTGAAGTGATTCACATGGGTTTGCTTGGTGGGTGATGATATTAGAAGAAGATGAACATTGTGAAATACTTTGATCTTTGTGCAGTTAGTACTAGTTAAGTTTAATCTAGCTATCTTTAAGTTCGATCGTCTTCATCATCGGAAGAGTATTGAAGAGGCGTCGAGTACAATGAAAGAATTAGCGGGGGACTTGAATTAGGGTTTTCTGCAGTTTTGATAATCATTTCGTTGTGTGATATACATATCTTGAAGATCAAATGTGCACCAGAGGACATTGGAGGCCAGCTGAAGATGAAAAACTTAGAGAGCTGGTGGAACGTTATGGCCCTCATAACTGGAACGCCATAGCTGAAAAGCTTCAAGGCAGATCAGGTAATTAATTAAATTTAATCCAAATCATTCCATTTTTTTTTTCATTAATTATCTTTATTAATAAATAACCCACTAGGGTTTGATTCAAAGTCAACTTATTTATAATATGCATGCAAAATATGTAATTAATTAATATGTGGTGATGATGCAGCAGGGAAAAGTTGTAGGTTGAGATGGTTCAATAAACTGGATACAAGAATCAACAGAAGAAGAGAATACTGATGATATAGCATCATATAGTGTCTTGACCAAAGTAATTAAAGAGAAACTGGACCAAAATGGTAAGCAAATAAAGTAAAGAAGAGAATAAATTTAAATATTTTAATTTGAAAAGTTAAATAACAACTTGAAAGTAAACACCAACTAATCAAAACCCNAGGTTGAGATGGTTCAATCAACTGGATCCAAGAATCAACAGAAGCCCTTTTACAGAAGAAGAAGAAGAGCGGCTTTTAGCTTCTCATCGGATCCATGGAAATCGATGGGCCGTAATCGCGAGATTGTTCCCTGGACGAACTGATAATGCAGTGAAGAACCATTGGCATGTCATCATGGCTCGAAGATGCAGAGAAAGATCGAGACTTTACGCCAAAAGAGCCGCTCAAACTCTCCTAAATAATGACCAGAAATCACCTTCAAAACCAGATATCATTACCTCCTGTGACTCGACGGCGAAGAATCTCGCTTCGTTTGTCGAATCCTATTGCGCGAAAACTCACTACAATTTTGCTCAGAATCTTCATCACCATCATCAGTATTATCCTATACAAGTTTTCAGAGAAGCCGAGGGCGAAAACACAAGTCATTGTATTACCATGAATAAAGGTAATTACTTATCATTATCAAAATCAGTTTTACAACGGTAGATTATGAACGAATATTTTATCTATATCACTGAATTTGTTGCAGATAATAAGAACCAACGGGTGGAGTTCTACGATTTTCTTCAAGTGAATACGGATTCAACGAAGAGTGAAGTGATAGATAATGCGAAAAGGGACGATGAGGAAGTCGATCAAGAAGCGAGAGAGCAGCAACGAAGCGGGCAATTTATCGATTTCTTATCGGTAGGAGGAGCTTAATAGTTCATAGCTAGATTATGAATTTTGATGGTGAAGTTTGTTTGGAGAGGAAGAACAAGAAGAAGAAGAAGAAGATGACATGCCACTGGAAAAGAAACCAACTTACACACGTACGTATGAAGTATATAACTAACTACAAAATGAAACATTTATTTAGTTATGAGAATGTGACAGAGGAACAAATATTTAAACAAGAAGATGAAGATATTATATATTATATTATTATATGTTATGTTATGTTATGTTATGTTTATGTTATTAATTAATTACATGTAGCTAGAATTATGCATAGAGTAATTAAGAAGAAGAATAAGCTGTGTTGTGTTGTGTTGTATTGTAAAACCGAGGCTTTAATCCAAGAATGCCAAGCTGAGGATTCAGGAATTTTTATTTGTAGTTCAAACATTAATTAATCTCTTTGTGTCTCTTGAAATAATCTTTCATCTACATAAATTTTCATGCATTATTAATAGCATCATTATATATATATATATAATCCATCTCTTTTACAGATGATATCGTTTATTTAGTGTTAATTGATATCAGTAAACGATCTAGGTCTAAAAATCATACTCTTATGTCAATATTATTATACCATACATACAGATTAATTTAATTACACAATCATCTCTTCTTTTTTATCTTGCTTATAAGTAATTAATTTTCTGTTCTATATATATATATATATATATAGTAATCTTTGCTTTATGAAGGTTTGATGCATGTTTAATTATTAATTGGTTATTTTCTCCAAAAACTAATGGATTTGGCTCCCAAAATTTTAATAAGTTTAATCTTATAACTCATAATAATAATATAAATTTGTCATTTAATATTGTAAGTTTATTGTTATTTACAATATATTAACATCGAAAGTCTCCTTTACCTAAATTAATTTTGATGAGTTTATGGAAATGCATTGAAGTTGGAAATTATTTCATTTCTGATAGCATCTTGCTGGCCATGCAGCCTTATAATTTTATATTTTAGAGTTGCTATTACAAAGTTTTTGAAGTCAAATTTCAATGCAGGTTTAATTAAAAAACGATTAAATCGAGTTTAATATGAGGAGATTATCCTGAATGAAAATGCGTCAAATGAAGATATAATTGCTGAGCATTGAAAGCCGTCAGCAATATAAATAAGTTTAGCCACCAACAAGAATAATAATAATGAAATTTAAGATAATCTTTCAATGTGACGTGTATTTTTTTTATGGTAAAGAAGCATGATCTTGACAGGACTTATAACAACCAAATACATCTGTCCCGACCCAATTTACTTCTTGAAATTTCACTTATTATTTTACTAAATACTTTCCTTAATTCGTCATGCTTTTAATTATGCTCTTTCTTAGTGATTAATGATCTTCATCCGTTCGTTAATTGTCCCATGCTTATCACATTCTTAATGCGGTTTTTGATATTATTAATTAGTTTATTTTACCTATATGTATTTACTCTCAAGATCAATCTTAAATATAAAATTTCAATACAATTTTTCTTTGAATACAAAGAAGGAATACAAGAAATTTTATAAATAGTTAAAGTGTTTAGAAACGGGTTTTCGATATAATCCTAAAATAGGTCTCGGTTTTATATAATTGTTTCTTTTTTCTTTTTTAATTGGAAAACAGTTTTTAGATAATAATTATTCATATATTAAAAAGATATATTAAGATATATGCAATTATTTTAATTAGATTTTAGTTTTTAAAATTATGTTTGGATTACAAACCAAAGGGATATATTCTTGCAAATTTCATTTCAAAATTATAATATTTGTAAAGACTTGACTCTTATAATAGTGTATAAAGTCAAGACCCAGATGTTAAATCTTACGATATATAGTCTTATATCATATGTATAATATAAGGTTTCAAATCTGAATTTTGTAAGAATATAGACTATGCCTATGATATAATTTTCATCTATTAGTATATTTACATCATGTGACAATAAGAACTAGCTAGAGATATGATATGAATGATGGCGATATATACTTGTAATGTTATTTTTTGTCTAGATACATCCATCTAAATTTAAGGAGAAATTCAAGTTAATTTGTTTTCCTTCATTTTCAACTTTTTTTTTATTCTTTAATCCCATTTGAGGATCTGAACCTAAAAGCAACAAAAGATTTTGTTATCTATGGCAAATATGAAATTTAAGTCTCTCTACTTCATTTACTATACACCAAAGTTTATTGTATTGTGTTAAATATTTAACTTAATGTTTTGATACTATTTGTTCGTTGTTTATCTTTCTTAATCTAATAGTATTAAGAGATGTTGAGTAGAGAAATGTCGGAAGTTTTTAATTGAAGAACAATGTCATTTGACGTCGAAAGTGATTTTTCTATTCCAATAATTTTTGCCTACGGCGAAATTTGAGTAGTCGGGATATTACAATTTTCTTGCAGTACATTAACAAAGATGTCTTATATACAAATAATATCAAAAGTAAATTAAATAAAAAAAAAATAATAATGTTGAAAGTTCTAAACTAGATTGTTCTAATTAACAAACCCTTTACATCATTGGGATGAAAAGTACACATTTAAGCCTGTTTGATCAAAATATGCATCTAATAATTCTTTGAATAATCATAAGATTAGGTAACTTTAAGTTGACTTAAATTACTTATAAGTTTGTTATTGAAATTAAGGCATGTTTAAGGCATGCAATTTAAGTTAAATGAATTTTCTGGTTACATAACAATAATTATTATTATTAAGGGATAAGGTCTGTATGCATCAAGTCAAGGGCTAGGTCCTACTAACTACGCTAAAATATTTAGGATGTGTTAAATAAATTAATTTAATAACACGCTTAGAAGAAATTTTGTTCTCTAACCAACAATAATTCTATTCAATAAACAACATTGTTTTTACACTTTTTTATCATTAACATATATTTTTTTAGTAAAAAGGTGTCATTCAACTGATAAAGGTGTCTGTTATTATACAAATGAATTTTTGCCACTTTTCCTTTGATTTATTAATAGAAGTGTCGATCAATTAATAGTAACCCTAGAAAAACTATTGGAGTATGATATGAAATAATAAACAAATGGGTTCTCTATACTTAGGATTCCTGTAGAAACTTTGTAAACCAAACCCAATGTGTAGTTAGCTAGACAACCCGATTTTTACTCTCTTATGTTGCAATCTATCACACCATTTCAGATAATTGCTCTGTTAATTAACCAATGAATCAAGTCCTTTGTGATTGGTTTGAGACTCACCAACAATGTACTTAGCAATTAGCATCCTCTTTCGTTATGACTTTGTGATCAACTTGATGGTTATGTTTCACTCATAAATTTACGCAAACAACCAAATGAATATTGTATAATTTAAAAGATGAATCAGATTCTTAATTATTATTATTATTATTATTTATTTATTAAAATAAATAAATAAATCGTTATGTACACAACAAAGAAACTGTCTAAATTAAAAACCCTTGGAAAATTTTCTATATACCAATAACCACATGCATATAACTAGATGGAGGTATATTTCACTAGATGAGAAAATATAAGGGTTTGAGTCAAAATTTATTTTTGTTTTGTATTCATTATTGGTGTGGTTTATAACAGAAAATTTGGTTGATTATTTTAGGTTCTTCCATCATTTTTCGATAGCCTTTGCATGTATAATGACACTAATAAGTGTCGGGTATTTACAATATGTCGACAGAATTTTATCTGTGCCGGTGGAAAGGTCATTGGAGTAGCAATATTCCTGTGGTGCATTGATCCACAGGTGGAGCTAATCCATGGCCACATCGCCCCCCCTATTTTTATAAAATTAAAAAAAATAATAATAATAAACTGAGTCACTACAAATTTTTTTTTTTTTTTTTTTTTTTTCCCCCTCATTTTATGAACTGAAACTTTGACCCTCATATATGAAATTTCCTAATTGCTCTTTGTCCCCCTCATTCAGTGAACACTGTATTTTGAATGAAATTTCCTAATTGCTCTTTGTCCCCCTCATTCAGTGAACACTGTATTTTGACCCCATAGTAAAATTTTGAGCAAACGACATTTTCCCACCAAGGTTTTGCCTAAAAGATACTTTCCCACTCGACAAGTTTCAAAATGACACTTTCTTACCCACCTACAATTAACTTTAACTGAAGAAGGGTAAAATGATAAATTCAAAAGAAGTCAAAGGGTAGTTATGTCATTTTATCCATATATCAACTTAGAAAAAAAAAAAAAAAAAAAAACCCTAATCAAACCCTTTTACCTTTCTTCCCCACCCCACCTCCATTCTGTTGCACCGGCCTTGTCTCTGTCTGATTCTGATGTGTTCTGCAACTGCTTGCTTCGTGTTGTGCGGCTTGCATCCACGCTGTCATGCGGGCAATCAATCACACCACCATCAAAGATCTCTCCCTACCCTCGTCCTTGTCACATTAGAGAAGCCACTATGCTAACTACGTCTATTTCAGCCTCATTTGCATAGCAAAATAAAGTGATCGGGAAAGAAGGAAGCTTTCCCTATTTTCTAGTCACTGTTGTTGTTCTCTAACAATTGCGCCACGCGGTTGCCTTTTTACCATTGTTCTCTCTAACAACCGTGCCTCTCTCCACCTTTGCAACTGCTCCTACAGCCATACTACTGCTAAGTAACATCTCTTCTCCTCAACAAGAAACGGTGGGCATAGATTTAATAACCGCATTGATTTGGTCCGATGCGATTTAGTCGAAATCGTGCTTGGTTGATTTTGGCCAATTGGTGTAATTTTGTTGGTGTTTTTAGATTGGTTTTGATAAGGGTGATGATGCTGTGTGTTGATTTGGATAAGAGTGGAGATTTTGTGTATTGATTTGTGTGAGAAGAATGTGGTGAGAAGGTTGGGTGCGATTCCGACTTATTCGCACCCGACCAAGTACGGTTCGGTCAGAGTTGTAATGCCTATATCGAGGTACGTAGCTTTACTTATGCCCTAATACCCTTAGTTGGATTTTGTTAAAGTTATCTTAAACAAGTGTGAAGAAAATTTCTTAAAACTTCATTAGGGGTAAAATGGTCTTTTCACTCATAATTAGTTGAAAGTGTGGGGAGTGAAAAGAAATAGAATTTCATGGAGAATGCAATAAAAATGAGGGCATTATGGTAATTGACTAAGGGACATAGATGAAATTTCATAGAAAGTGCAAGGGTAAAATAGGAAACTAATAAGTAATATTTTGTTATATTAAGAGTTCAAGAATGAAACCCTAGCCATTCTTCCCCTTCCATTCACGCCACTTTCCATCCAAGCTCTCTCAAATTTCTTCAATCATTTTTCAAGGAAATTCATAGATTTTGGCTCATTTTTAGTGGAATTTCAATCTCAAGCATCCTTAGGTAAGATCATTGCACTAAGATGTGAGATTTAATTTTTAAACTGTTGAATTCTTATGATTTGTGTTCATAGGATTTAAGAGAAAGGGAGTTGTGTCAAGGAAGACTACTAAAGTGTTGGATTGCTCACATCTAAGTAAGTAAATCCAACCCTAGTTATGATTGGAATAATATTTTGTAGAGAACTTCCTTTATGCATGTATGTGCTTATATATAAAGAATTGTTGATGGAATAGATGTTGAATGATGGTTAGAATTTATCCATGAGAAGTAGTGTTTGTGTACTTGATGTTTGATGAGAGTTTGGGTGTGTTAGAAGTTGAATTTGTCTCACATCGCCCCAATAGTGGGCTGTTATGGTGTATATAAGTGATTGGACTCCCTCATTCCTTGAGCTAGCTTTTGGGAGTGAGTTCTACTCAAGCCCAATTTATCATGGTATCAGAACCACGTTTGTTTCTCTCCCCTCTTTGGTTAGGGCGATGATGGGTTTGGATCCCGGCCTTGCACGCCGAGCGTGAGGGAGGGTGTTAGAAGTTGAATTTGTCCCACATCGCCCCAATAGTGGGCTGTTATGGTGTATATAAGTGATTGGGCTCCCTCTTCCCTTGAGCTAACTTTTGGGAGTGAGTTCTACCCAAGCCCACTTTATCAAGGTGAATTATGGAAGAATTGAAGTAGAATTTATGGAGTGTAAATCCTGGCCAGGTTTGACGTTGATCTTAGTGAGTTTTGTTCCAAATTTTGGTGGCTTAGAAGATATGTAGAAGTGTAGCCAATTTAGAGTTTGTGTGCATATAAATTGTTTGATGAAATGTCAAAGAAAAGTGCATATAATGATTATGATTACTTGATATCTTGAGATGAGTTGGTAGATAGTAGAGAATGACATGTTCACATTCCATATTACATTATTGCATTCAAACAAGTGAATTTAGAAAGAATAATAAGCATGAGCCCATCTACATGCATACATACTCATAAGAGCATTAATGAACATTCAAGTTAAAGAACAAATAGAAAGAAATGAGAAATATTAAACAATAAATTCAAATCTGAAATTTTATTTTAAGAAGTATAAAAAGATAAGAGAAGAGAAGGTTGTTGCGATAGGGAACCTGTGAGTGACCTAGCCCCGCATGTACGCTGCCTTTAGTGAACGGCCTCAGAATCAGAAAGAAGAATTATATAGTCCGTTAGAAGTGCATGTGAATGAGGACTGTACCCAGAATTAGAGAATACACTCACACGACCAGGGTTCTGAATCCATACCTCAACCGAGTCTGATCGGCAAGAAAGAAAGAATAGAAAGAATAGAAAGAAAGAAAAGAAAAGAAAAGAAAAGAAAAGAAAGAATAGAGTAGAAAGAAAGAATAGAAAAGAATGAAAAGAATAGAAAGAAAGGAAGCATAGAAAGAAATACAGAGAAAAGAAACAAAAACAGAATAAGAAAATAGAAAATAGAAAAAAAAAAATGCACATCCTATGCATTTGTGCATTTGTATCATACCTATGCATGATACCATGCCTACTATCATGGGTAGTGAGAAATTAGAAATTGAGAAAAAAACAGAGAAAGAATAGAGAAAGAACAGAGAAGAATAGAGAAATGTGACTTAAGGAAAGAAATTCAGAATATAAGCAACGGAGAGAGAAGAGTAACATAGCAGGTTTACTTACTGAGCAATTAGTACTCACCACGTTGTTTTTAGTGTTTTTGTAGATAGTAGGTGAGATGCGGTCGCTTAGAACGTCAAGAAGCGGAAGGGTTTGGCAACACTGTCAAGTTGATGTTTTGTGACTTTATTACATTATGTCAAGATTTGTATATAAAGAAAAATTAATTATGAGCCCATTATTTTATACTCTTCTACATGTATATTTTCTTATATATATTTAGTGAGTTTTACTGTTATTTTATGAGTATACTAGCTAAAGAGAGAGCATTACAGGAGTCGCACTCAACCAACGATTCCAGTCAACTATTTTTTTTCCAGTTTTTATAATTTTTATAATTTTTTTCAGTTTGTGTATGGATTTGGATTCGGATTCGGATTATGATTCAAATAATAAAGGTCATTTTCATCTTTACACTAATTATACCATATCAGTTAACATATTTTACTAACGGATCTTAACAGTGGGTGGGAAAGTGTCATTTTGAAACTTTTTGGGTGGGAAAGTGTCTTTAGGCCAAACCTTGGGTGGGTTAATTTACTCTAAATTTTTTGGGTATTATAATTAATTAATAGTTTTGAAATTTGTGTTGACTTCTTATATATTAATGATGACCAGAAATGAGAAGTGGTTTAAGGCCGGTGTGACCTAATTAATTAATAAATTTAGTTCTAAAAAATTATGAATTATTTTATTATAGTTGATTATTAATATATATTTTTATAAGTTTCTTCAAGAATCCTTTATAATTTTTATGAAAAAACTTGGACGAAATGTGTGCTAAGCCACTTTCTTGCACGAAGTTAGAATTCAAATACCAGTTATATAAAGTTATGTTATCTCCAATCATCATCGGACAAATTTAATATTGAATATTATATGGTTTTACCTTAATTTTAATAAGCTAATGAAGTCCCTGGTCAACTAATACTATTATAAAACTTAATTAATATGCAATTTTAATTAATATCGTATGTGTGGACTATTGACTTTTAATGTTATGCGATTAATTAATTTCTTTGTGACATGAAAAATCAAAAGTCAAATTAAGAATAAACTGAAAGGCCGCCACCCGAACATGGAAACCTTGATTTCTGGGTAATGAGTAAACAACATATTCCCACTCCAAGTTTAGCAAAATCCTAAATTGATACCCTGATAGCATTTATTTCATATTCTCTCCCTTAAACTAACATCGTTAGTGATTGTTAAAAGTGGTCAAAAACGGTAAATGAGGTTTGCAAGTGAAGTTATGAGTTTTGTAGAGAAGATTGTGGGGAGTCCAATGGTAGTCTGGGAAGTGATTTTGGACTTCAGAATCGGCTAGAAAAAGCCAAAAACCGCTAGTGTAGATGCTGTTAATGTGAGCTACTTTTTGATAAATTTGACCCCTTCTTGACCAAAGAAAGTGCACTTTAGTGTGCTAACGTATGCCACACTACAGTGAAAAGTTGAGAATCTGTTAAAATAAAAGAAACGGTGTTACTTTAGTTTAAGAGTATGAATCTGGAATAAATGCAATTAGGTGTATCAACTTTGAATTTAACTAAACCTCGGGTGGGAATATGTCGTTTGCTCCTGGTAATTAATAAACTGGCATTAATTAGCAATTAGATAGATAATATATACAATTAATGAAATTAATTAAGACAAAGTCATAAATAATTAAGTAAACGCTTATATATATACATATAGATGAAAATAAAACTTGCTAATCTTAGCAAAGCTCAAATCAAGATGAGTATACATCTTAAGTTAATTCTGGTAGCCCTTTTTGCTTCTTTGGCATTCGATCACTCTCTTTGTGGTAATCATCTATCAATACATTTATCATATATTTATTATACGTTTTCTATATTTTCATCCAATAAACGAAGTTATGTATACACACTTTTGTTTTATATCTGAAACAAGTTTTTTTGTTATCTAAATTTTGTAGCTTCTTAAATGAGATGTTTTCTCTTTTGACATAATAAAACTTAGATTTAGATTGTGAAAATTTCAAGACGTTATATATATGAGTTCATGTATGGATATATTTCTCTTTTTGAATCTGTAATTCTTTTATCTAGACCATGATACATTCGTCTCATCTAAAACTACATACGTGTATTCTGTCAAGAACTCTTTATTAATGATTTTCTTCGTTACATGACACGATCAATGTACAGTATTCTTAAGCATCGATTGCGGGTCTTCTGAGTCTTACACAGACGAAAATTCAATAGAATGGGTAGGAGACGACGCCTACATTCAAAACGGAGAGTCAAAAGTGGTGCAGTTCAGCAGTTCAGAGGCATATCCGATGAGTACTTTAAGAGTCTTCCCCACAGGGCAGAAGAAAAGCTGCTACACAATCAAAGTGGATGAAGGAGAAAGAGTTCTTGTTCGAGCAAGTTTCAACTATGACAATTACGATGGCAAATTGTCTCCTCCAACGTTTGATCTTCAATTCGATGGCAATTTTTGGGCAACAGTGAACACAAGTACCACTTTTAGAGTCATTTCTCACGAAGCAATTTATGTTGTGAAGAGAAATTTCACGAGCATCTGTGTTGCTCAAACTCACCCTGGTCAGCTTCCTTTTATATCTGCATTGGAAATCAGAAGCTTGGATGCCAATATGTATGGCAGTGTTCCTCCGAATTTTGCTTTGCTTCTTGTGGTGAGGGCAGCTCTTGGTGCAAATGAAACCAATATCAGGTATATATAGTCTATCACTTGTCTACTCTGAAGTAAGTCTCGGGTCCAATAACAAAAATTTCATGGTGTAACATATTAGGTATCCAGTTGATCCTTACGATAGAATCTGGGAAGCAGCAACAGGAGCATTTGGATTAACAACAGTCTCAAATGAAGCATCCTCCATTAAAGTAACTACACCACCTGACAATCCTCCACCATTGGTGCTACAAAATGCTGTAACTTCTTCAAGCACTTTGATAGGGATAAATATAATCACAAAACTTCCTGAAAAGCCGACTCCCTTCTTCATGGCGACCTACTTCTCTGAAGTAACTCAGCTCGGCAGCGGTCAGAAGAGATCCTTCAAATTGTTCATCGATAGCAAGGCTGTTTCGGCCTCCATTGTCCCGACTTTTGGAGGTGCCTCTGAAGTTTATATTGCTAACAGAATTGCTTCTGCTAGCAACCAAATTTCCCTCCTGGCTGATGATGACTCCACTCTTCCTCCTCTCATTAATGCAATGGAAGTTTATACTCTGAGTGGTGAACTAACCAATGGAACTAATGCTAAGGATGGTTTGCTTCTAACTTCATTATTTAATTTTGGGATATTATTTCTTCTGATTATGATCTAAATGTTATTTTTGTTTTGTTTTGTTTTGTTTATGCTGTAATTCAGTGGTAGGATTAGGATTGCTGCAAAATGGATTTGAGGTGTTAAAGGGATGGAGTGGAGATCCTTGTCTTCCATCTCCATATTCATGGGATTGGATTGACTGTAATTCTGATGACATGCCTCGCGTAACAGCAGTGTAAGTAAAACCTGTTATAAAAAAGAAACAAAATTTATCCCCTTATGCTTACATTCTATTAATTGTTATTATTTTTTTATTTTTAAATGAACAGGAATCTCAGTGGGTATGATCTGGCTGGTTCAGTTCCTGATTTCAGTTCCATGGATGCTCTTCAAACAATGTGAGTAAATTAGCCTATACATAATCATGAATTTTCAAGATTTTTTTTGGTTCATATTTTCTAATTTTATGTTGTGTTTTTCTCTATTGAATGCAGTGATCTGAGTGATAACAATTTAGATGGATCTATTCCTGATTTCCTTGGCACCTTCCCGAATCTAGCACTATTGTAAGATTTAATTGACATATTTTTTGTTGTATAGTTTCAAAATTCATTATTAAAGGATTGTGAAATTCAGAAAATTATTTATTTTATTTTAACCTATCGTTAAGAAATTTTCTTTTTTGTGAAATTATTCGTGTAACCTATTGCAATTTGCAAGATATTTATTTCATTTTACTTTGCAGGAATTTGTCAAATAATAGATTCACTGGACCTATTCCCAGCTCACTGTTAAAGAATAAAAAGTTGAAATTATTGTAAGTTCACATTATTTTTCACTGTTATTTTAGTAATTATAAATTCAATGTGTATGATTTTATTTACATTTTTCTTTTTGATTTACAGGGTGACTGGCAATTGTTTAAATGCAACCTCTTGTCCTGCAAGCCCACCCAAATCCAGTCAGACAAGTAGCCCTTCAAGCCCACCAACTCCGGACCTACCAGCCCCCTCACCCAGCCTGACCAGCCCAACTAGGAAGAGTCCAGCAACACCCAAAACAAGCCCGACAACTAACCCAACAACACCCAGCCCAACTAATAAAGGCCCAAGCCCAACAACAACCGCGACAAAGCAAGTTGAAACGCCCCCAACCCCAAGCTCAACCGAAAATGAGACGCCTCCTCTTGCTTTCCAAAATACAAGCGATTTCATAGTAAATAACAAACTGGCCATGACATTGGGAGTCTTAATTCAACTTCTTGTATCACTTTCTGTACTAATTGGGAGGTTTTAGTTGTTCATTACTTCATTTTTACCCCTGATAGCATTTGTTTCATATTCTCACCCTTAAACTAAACCGTTAGTGATTGTTAAAAGTGTCAAAAACGGTAAATGAGGTTGGCAAGTGAATTATGAGTTTTGTAGAGGAGATTGTGGGAGTCCATGGTAGTCTAGAAAGTATTTTGGACTTCAGAATCGGCTAAAAAAGCCAAAAACCGCTAGCTAAATGCTGCTAACGTGACTATTTTGATAAATTCGACACTTTCTTGACCAAAGAAAGCGCTAGCGCAGTTTAGTGTGTTACCGTATCCCACATTACGTGAAAAGTCGAGAATCTGTTAAAATAAAAGAAACGGTGTTACTTTAGTTTAAGAGTATGAATCTGGAATAAATGTAATTAGGTGTATCAACTTTGAATTTCACTAAACCTGGATGGGAATATGTCGTTGGCTCCTGGTAATTAATAAACTGGCATTAATTGCAATTAGATGATAATTTACAATTAATGAAATTAATTAAGACAAAGTCATAAATAATTAAGTAAAGGCTTATATATATATATATATATATATATATATATCTATATAATATATATATATATATAGATAGATAATAAAACTTGCTATCTTAGCAAAGCTCAAATCAAGATGAGTATACATCTTAATTTATTCTGGTAGCTCTTTTGCTTCTGGCTTCAATCACTCCTTTGTGGTAATCATCTATCAATACATTTATCGTATATTTATTATACGTTTTATATTTTTCATCCAATAAACGAAGTTATGTATACCCACTTTGTTTTATATCTGAAACTTTTTTTGTTACCTAAATTTTGTGCTTCTTATGAGATGTTTTCTCTTTTGACATAATAAAACTTAGATTTAGATTGTGAAAATTCAAGACGTTATATATATGAGTTCATGTTATTGTATATGGATATATTCTCTTTTTGAATCTGTAATTCTTTTATCTAGACCATGATACATTCCAGCTAACTTTTGGGAGTGAGTTCTACCCAAGCCCACTTTATCAAGGTGAATTATGGAAGAATTGAAGTAGAATTTATGGAGTGTAAATCCTGGCCAGGTTTGACGTTGATCTTAGTGAGTTTTGTTCCAAATTTTGGTGGCTTAGAAGAGATGTAGAAGTGTAGCCAATTTAGAGTTTGTGTGTGCATATAAATTGTTTGATGAAATGTCAAAGAAAAGTGCATACAATGATTATGATTCCTTGATATCTTGAGATGAGTTGGTAGATAGTAGAGAATGACATGTTCACATTCCATATTGCATTATTGCATCCAAACAAGTGAATTTAGAAAGAATAATAAGCATGAGCCCATCTACATGCATACATACTCATAAGAGCATTAATGAACATTCAAGTTAAAGAACAAATTTAAAGAAATGAGAAATATTAAACAATAAATTCAAATCTGAAATTTTATTTTAAGAAGTATAAAAAGATAAGAGAAGAGAAGGTTGTTGCGATAGGGAACCAGTGAGTGACCTAGCCCCGCATGAACGCTGCCTTTAGTGAACGGCCTCAGAATCAGAAAGAAGAATTATAAAGTCCGTTAGAAGTGCATGTGAATGAGGACTGTACCCAGAATTAGAGAATACACTCACACGACCAGGGTTCTGAATCCATACCTCAACCGAGTCTGATCGGCAAGAAAGAAAGAATAGAAAGAAAGAAAAGAAAAGAAAGAAAGAATAGAGTAGAAAGAAAGAATAGAAAAGAATGAAAAGAATAGAAAAAAAGGAAGCATAGAAAGAAATATAGAGAAAAGAAACAAAAACAGAATAAGAAAATAGAAAATAGAAAAAAAAATGCACATCCTATGCATTTGTGCATTTGTATCATACCTATGCATGATACCATGCCTACTATCATGGGTAGTGAGAAATTAGAAATTGAGAAAAAAAACAGAGAAAGAATAGAGAAAGAACAGAGAAGAATAGAGAAATGTGACGTAAGGAAAGAAATTCAGAATATAAGCAATGGAGAGAGAAGAGTAACATAGCGGGTTTACTTACTGAGCAATTAGTACTCATCACGTTGTTTTTAGTGTTTTTGTAGGTAGTAGGTGAGATGTGGTCGCTTGGAACGTCAAGAAGCGAAAGGGTTTGGCAACACTGTCGAGTTGATGTTTTGTGACTTTATTACATTATGTCAAGATTTGTATATAAAGAAAAATTAATTATGGGCCCATTATTTTATACTCATCTACATGTATATTTTCTTTTATATATTTAGTGAGTTTTACTGTTATTTTACGAGTATACTAGCTAAAGAGAGAGCATTACAGGAGTCGCACTCAACCAACGATTCCAGTCAACTATTTTTTTTTCCAATTTTTATAATTTTTATAATTTTTTTCATATTTTTATAATTTTTTTCAGTTTGTGGATTTGGATTCGGATTCGGATTATGATTCAAATAATAAAGGTCATTTTCATCTTTACACTAATTATACCATATCAGTTAACATATTTTACTAACGGATCTTAACAGTGGGTGGGAAAGTGTCATTTTGAAACTTTTTGGGTGGGAAAGTGTCTTTAGGCCAAACCTTGGGTGGGTTAATTTACTCTAAATTTTTTGGGTATTATAATTAATTAATAGTTTTGAAATTTGTGTTGACTTCTTATATATTAGTGATGACCAGAAATGAGAAGTGGTTTAAGGCCGGTGTGACCTAATTAATTAATAAATTTAGTTCTAAAAAATTATGAATTATTTTATTATAGTTGATTATTAATATATATTTTTATAAGTTTCTTCAAGAATCCTTTATAATTTTTATGAAAAAACTTGGACGAAATGTGTGCTAAGCCACTTTCTTGCACGAAGTTAGAATTCAAATACCAGTTATATAACGTTATGTTATCTCCAATCATCATCGGACAAATTTAATATTGAATATTATATGGTTTTACCTTAATTTTAATAAGCTAATGAAGTCCCTGGTCAACTAATACTATTATAAAACTTAATTAATATGCAATTTTAATATAATATCGTATGTGTGGACTATTGACTTTTAATGTTATGCGATTAATTAATTTCTTTGTGACATGAAAAATCAAAAGTCAAATTAAGAATAAACTGAAAGGCCGCCACCCGAACATGGAAACCTTGATTTCTGGGTAATGAGTAAACAACATATTCCCACTCCAAGTTTAGCAAAATCCTACAATTGTACCCGATAGCATTATTTCATATTCTCTCCTTAAACTAAACATCGTTAGTGATTGTTAAAGTGGTCAAAAACGGTAAATGAGGGTTGCAAGTGAAGTTATGAGTTTTGTAGAGAAAGATTGTGGGGAGTCAATGTGTCTGGGAAGTGATTTTGGACTTCAGAATCGGCTAGAAAAAGCCAAAAACCGCTAGGGTAGATGCTGTTAATGTGAGCTCTTTTTGATAAATTTGACCCCTTCTTGACCAAAGAAAGTGCACTTTAGTGTGCTAACGTATGCCACACTACAGTGAAGTTGAGAATCTGTTAAAATAAAAGAAACGGTGTTATTTAGTTTAAGAGTATGAATCTGGATAAATGCAATTAGGTGTATCAACTTTGAATTTAACTAAACCTCGGGTGGGATATGTCGTTTGCTCCTGGTAATTATAAACTGGCATTAATTTGCCATAGATAGATAATATATACAATAATGAAATTAATTAAGACAAAGTCATAAATAATTAAGTAAACGCTTTATATATACATATAGATGAAAATAAAACTTGCTAATCTTAGCAAAGCTCAAATCAAGATGAGTATACATTTAAGTTAATTCTGGTAGCCCTTTTGTTCTTTGGCATTCGATCACTCTCTTTGTGGTAATCATCTATCAATACATTTACATATATTTATTATACGTTTTCTATTTTCATCCAATAAACGAAGTTATGTATACACACTTTTGTTTATATGAAACAAGTTTTTTTGTTATCTAAATTTTGTAGCTTCTTAAATGAGATGTTTTCTCTTTTGACATGATAAAACTTAGATTTAGATTGTGAAAATTTCAAGACGTTATATATATGAGTTCAGTATGGATATATTTCTCTTTTTGAATCTGTAATTCTTTATCTAGACCATGATACATTCGTCTCATCTAAAACTACAACGTGTATTCTGTCAAGAACTCTTTATTAATGATTTTCTCGTTACATGACACGATCATGTACAGTATCTTAAGCATCGATTGCGGGTCTTCTGGTCTTACACAGACGAAAATCAATAGAATGGGTGGGAGACGATGCCTACATTCAAAACGGAGAGTCAAAAGTGGTGCAGTTCAGCAGTTCAGAGGCATATCCGATGAGTACTTTAAGAGTCTCCCACAGGGAGAAGAAAAACTGCACACAATCAAGTGGATGAAGGAGAAAGAGTTCTTGTTCGAGCAAGTTTCAACTATGACAATTACAGTGCAAAGTGTCTCCTCCAACGTTTGATCTTCAATTCGATGGCAATTTTTGGGCAACAGTGAACACAAGTACCACTTTTAGAGTATTTCTCATGAAGCAATTTATGTTGTGAAGAGAAATTTTACGAGCATCTGTGTGCTCAAACTCACCCGGTCAGCTTCCTTTTATATCTGCATTGGAAATCAGAAGCTTGGATGCCAATATGTATGGCAGTGTTCCTCCGAATTTTGCTTTGTTCTAGTGGTGAGGGCAGCTTTGGTGCAAATGAACCAATATCGGTATATATAGTCTATCACTTGTCTACTCTGAAGTAAGTCTCGGGTCCAATAACAAAATTTCATGGTGTAACATATTAGGTATCCAGTTGATCCTTAGATAGAATCTGGGAAGCAGCAACAGGAGTATTTGGATAACAACAGTCTCAAATGAAGCATCCTCCATTAAGTAACACACCACCTGACAATCTCCACATTGGTGCTACAAAATGCTGTAACTTCTTCAAGCACTTTGATAGGGATAAATATAATCACAAAACTTCCTGAAAAGCCGACTCCCTTCTTCATGGCGCTACTTCTCTGA